GGTATTAACACTTCACGTGATCTTGATTCTATCCCTCTGTTAATGCAGCCTAGCACTATGTTGGCCTTTTTGGCAGCTGCAGCACACTGCTGGCTCATATTTAGGTGATTGTCCACTAGGACTCATATCTTTTGTCATGAGTCCAGAAACTCATTGTTTTGAAGTTTTCCTCGAGATCTGTAAAGTTTATTTCCCTAAGATCAAACAGTCTGCGCTTAGAGGATGTGAATCACACTCCAGCACTGCAGTGACCATTTAGACATTTCAGGCATGACTAACTTCCACTTCATTGAATCCAGTGAGGTTGAAACATGACTAATTTTCTCTGGATCTGACCTAAGCTAAAGAAATATAGACTATTTCTAATCTTGTTCTATCCAAGCACAAATGAACTGAATTTTCTATTTTTAGTCAGTCTCTCCCCTTGAACTCACTTCTAAATATAACTGTGTTCTTTCCCATCTTTGTTGGTTAGTTGCCTCATGAAAAAGCACCTTTGGTATAACTATGACCTGGATGACTGAGGATCTCCATAGACATCTTAGAAGCTTCTTCAGTTCTGATTGAAGTCAGAACTGAAGAAGCTTCTTGGATGAGAAGAGAAATGTCTTCAAGGACAAACAAAGTCCAGTTGCCTTTTGAATGGAAGTAAATTCCACTGTCTATATATGCTTCATAGTAGTGGGGATGGTGGAGGTGACACAGACTTTAAATTTCACATTATCTTGTTATTTCTGTGTTGTCACCTCTCATTTCCAAAATGCTGTGCAGTGCAGCACAAGATTGAAAAACAATGCACTAAGCCAGCAGCCCCCAACCTTTTGGGCACCAGGGACCGGTTCCATGGACAGAGTTTTTTTCCGAGGACCGCATAGGGTGTGGTTTTGTGTGCTGCCTTCATCCTGCATCCCGCGGATGGGGCTTTGCTTGTTTGCATGGCCCAGTTTCTGACATGCTGTGGCCCGGTGCTGATCCATGGACGGGGGAGATGTTGGGGACCCCTGCACTAAGCATTTGTTTTTGGTGTCAAGGACACCATACATGTCAAACAGTGGTGGGATTCAAATATGTGAACAACCGGTTCTTTGTGTGGATGTCGCTTCTGGAAGTCTATTCTGGGCCTGGGCAACAAAAAAATTAGTTACTGGTTCTGCCGAAGTGGTGCAAACCGGCTGAATCCCACCACTGATGTCAAACTACTACTTGCGTATCCAAACCAAGACATGAAGATATGTGTCAACAAATGCTCTGCCCGTGGACATTTGCCTACTAGGCATCTTCTGGCTACATAAGGTTGGGGGAGGCCAGCTAAAACAAGAGAGTAGAAGTTGCCCTTTCTCACATCATTTCCCCCCCGCCTTCGGTCACATACGTTCCAAGTTAATGACCCATCCAACCCATGACAAAGTTGGTTATTAACTACTCATGAACGTTCTTTAGAAGAACGGTCCAAAGAGGTTATTTCACTTTATTCTTCCATCTGGGGTACGCCTGGAGCTTACGGCGTCATGGAGGCAGAATCACCAACGCTCACATCTAAAAAGACGGCCATCAGCAATGCGGCAGACATTTTGGTCATCTGTTTTTACTTCCTTGCGGTCATTGGCACTGGCCTTTGGGTACGTAGAGGTCCCTTTCCTCGTGAGATGTAACACTGGGCTGAAATTGCTCTGCAAGTAGCGGGGTATTTAGTTTGTAAAAAGTGCAGGTGGTGCTCGACTTACAACCATTCAAAGCTACAGTGTCACTGAAAAAGAGACTTAAGACCTGTTTTCACACTTTTGACCATTGCAGCATTCCCACGGTCACATGATCAGAATTTAAATGCTTGGCAACTGGTATGTACTTATGACAGTTGCGCTGTCCCAGGGTCATGTGATCACCATTTGTAACCTTCCCAGCTGGCTTCTGACAAGCAAGGTCAGTTGTGCTTAACAACTGCATGATTCACTTAACAACTGCAGCGATTCGCTTAACAACTGTGGCAAAACAAAGTTGTAAATTGGGACAAACTTAACAATTGTTAAGCAATGCAAATTTCGGGCTCAATTATGATCGTAAGTCAAGGACTACTTGTACTGCTGGGATTCAATGTTGATTTCTTTGCTAGGCAAAATTTCAGATGAGGTTCAAAGGGTCTCTTAATGGAATAATGTTCCGTTTAAAAAGTTTATTTGTTCCAATTTATAAACTACCCAGGGAACCATCTTTTATTGGGAAACTCAATAAAGTGCAGTGCTTTTCAACCTTTTCACCCATTGTACCACTTTTAGGATATGGCAATATCTGAGTACCAGTCGCCTAGCAAGGTGTCAAAAACTTGATGACCCCAAAAAAAGGAAAAAAGTGATAAAGTACAGGTAGTCCTCGACTTACAACAGTTCGCTTATTTGAAGTTACAATGGCACTGAAAAAAGTGCCCCCCAAGCCACAGCCAAGCAAGACACCTGCCTGCCCACCCGGCGGCGCTCTTCCTCCTGTCTGAGGTTTTCATTGTTGTGAGCATTTCTGTTGAGGAATGGCAGCGGTGGGGGAGGTGTTTGGTTTTTATTCCCCCCGTCTGCTGGGTGGTTGCAGCAGGTTTTGGTCACTTCACGTGACCCTGGGACACTGTGACCGTCATAAATATGAATCAGTTGCCAAGCATCTGAATGTAAATCACAAGACCCTGGAGATGCTGCAACATTCCAGCTGATTGGTGCTTCTTCAGGGCTCAGCGGAAGCGCCAGGATCAGCACCGAGCTCCAGCTGGAGCCTGGCGCTCATCCTGGCGCTTCCGCTGAGCCCTGACAGTCCCGAAGAAGTGCTGATCCTGGCACTTCCGCTGAGCCCTGACAGCCCTGCAGCTCCAGCCATCTCTCACTCAGGCTTGTGCGGTGCTGCCACCGGTTCAGCTCATTCCCCTCCCCTGCTACCACTTTTCTAGGATGGTCGCGTACCACCTGCCAATTGCCAATGTACCACAGGTGGTACCCGTACCACTGGTTGAAAAGCCCTGATAAAGTGCACCAGAATTCAGAAATCAAATATTGTCTAACAAGGGCATTTTTAATGAGCAAAACAACTGATTGAGTTGCCAAAATTACCATCCAGTGCAAATAAAAGGGCATATAATCTGTTCAAGTGGCAAGGTGTCTAACCCAAATCCCTTGGGTTTATCTAACATTAAGTCAGTTGTGAAAAGATAGGCAAAGCACTTAAACCCTGACAGTGTTGGGTAAAAATGAGACATGGCCACATCCTTTTGCAGCCCTTTCCCACAAAATCTTGTGCCCAAATGCAAGCTGGCAGGCTGACTCAAAATGCATGTTTATTAGACTTTTTAAATCCAGGCTGTTAGTGTCTCGTCTTTTTAAATTTCTGACCTTATTGCTCCAGGGGGTTAATTATTCTCCTCAGTTACACAGTTCAGGAATGTACTGGGAGCTGGTAATGAGTAAAATTGAAAAGATGAGTGACTGAACTGTCTGTTCTTTAAAGAATTACATTCTGCTCCCAGGCACTTTCTTCTAGTTTAGTCTAGAAATTACCTCCTTTGATACAGATTAAATGGGATTAAATGATTATGTACCTCATATGTCAAGCTGAATCATATTAGCATCTTATATCTGGCTTTATTTCAGGGCATGGGTTAAAAAAAAGTTAAGATGGCAGCGCAACAGTGCAATTAAAGCTTGACCTGCATTGCATGTAAAAAAAAAGAAGAAGCTTTGATCACACTGTCACACCCGCCATCTTGACTTTTTTGACCATGCCCTGAACATACCCTTCCTTTACTGTACTTAGAGCAGTGTTTTTCTTCAACCTTGGCCCTTTTAAGATGTGTGGACTTCAACTTCCAGAATTCCACAGCTAGCATCACTGGCTGGGGAATTCTGGGAGTTGAAGTCCACAGGTCTTAAAGTTGACCCCCCCCCCCCATTTGGAGTGTTTTGTCAACCCTCCTATTGTAAACAGGGAAGTGAGGCGGAAAGGATGGGGAATCTGCAAGGAGCTTCAACATGGAGGGATGCTGACCTCAGAGGGCAGGTCTGGATTCATGTAGAGGACCATTTGGGGACTTGATTTTGCTTTCTTCACTGTGATACCCCTATTATAGCACTCAAATGACTTCTGTCAGTCCTTAGAGATTAGAGGTTCTAAGGACCACAGAAAGAAAAGCAGGGCTGCACAGAGAAACCATGATGCAGGAAACCCAGATACTTGTGGTTTATTCCATAAACGATGCTTAAGACAACTGCAGTAGATTGTGTTATGTGACTCAGACCATAAATCCTCATATCTTTCTCTTATGGTTCGCAGTCCATGCGCCGGATCAATCGAGGGACAGTGGGGGGATATTTCTTGGCTGGAAGGAAGATGGTGTGGTGGCCGGTGAGTGACTAAAACAGAGAGGGGGGAGAGAAGACAAGAGACCCCAATCAACTGAGGGATGGAACAGAGGGCACTCACCAAGATTTTAGAATAGGGGATGCAGCAAAGTAAAGTTATAAGAGGGAGAAGGAAGATCAAGTGGTTAATTTGGGAAGGAGTGGAAGAAAAGCGACCTAAGTTACTGGATGAATTGGGAGACAAGACTCAAGACGACAGGACCAGGTAGATTTGGAAAGTCAATATGCTTTTTTTAAAAGAAAATTTGGTGGCTGTGTTCACAGATTGGAGCCTCTCTCTTTGCCAGCAACATTGGCAGCGGGCATTTTGTAGGTCTGGCAGGCACCGGAGCAGCGAATGGCCTGGCCGTGGCAGGATTTGAGTGGAATGTAAGTAGCAAAGAGACAAGATTGGGGTTTTTCCCAGTGCGAGGGTGGGCAACTATGGCCCCTTTCCGACTTGTGGGTTTCCACTCCTAGCATGCTGGCTCAGAAATTCTGGGAATTGAAGTTTACAGGTCATAAAAGGGACATAGTTGCTCAGCCTTGCCAAAGAGGAATCCCCACAAGGGGGCAGAGCAAGGCCACTATCATTTGCTGAGCAGAAAGCATCAGAGCACTTTGATTAGTCCCTGATTCCCCCCTCCTCACCAGCAGAGAAAAAAGGAGTATCTGCAGGGTGGGGGGATCAACAAAGGCAAGATGCCCTCCACAATGCACATTAAGAAGAAGAATCAGTTTGATAATACAATATGAATGACATCTTGTCTTTTTTTGACTGCCTCCCCACCCTTAGCTCTGCTGCTGTGGGAGCAATTTTTATTTTGTCCATCTCCACAGATAATCAGATAATCGCCTGTTTCATTTCTGCCTGTCACAAGCTGCAAATTAATCATCCAGAAGCTTTGATGAGGATTTGGGGGGAAAGAAAAAGATGGATACTTGACCTATCCTAGTTCTCACTCCATTATTGTTTTCTTTCTTTTTTAGGCTATATTTTTTGTTCTTCTCCTTGGATGGTTCTTTGTTCCAGTTTACCTCTCTGCTGAGGTAATGATTTCTCCTCTCAATCACACATTTATTTGTTTCCTTGTCCGGGGCATTTTTAATCTTCCCAAAGAATTCAGGGCAGCTCCATCATTCTCTCCACCCTCCCTACTTTTCTTCACATCAGCCTTGCAAGGTAGGTTAAGCTGAGAGAAACGGTGCAGACAAATTTCCAGAGTGAGCTTGCCGAATGCCAGTCTCCTCCTGATTCTTAATTTAACCAAACAGGATCCTTTCCTATTCTTTTTTTAGTTGAAATCAAGGTTTGGTTGTCAGGGTTCTGAGTAGGTTGTAGCTGATATTCTTTAAAGTCCACTTTAGTGTTAATTCCTTCTTCTTCTGTTGCCTTTTGAGTTGTAAGTTCATCAGTTGAAATGTGGGCTGCATTTTGTAGCTTTAAGGTGGCACCTTTATCTTTCAATCTGGAATTCATTAGCTCAGTAGCCTCTAGGATTTTTTCAAGTATAAGTTTGTAGTTAAGTTGTGGGTAGTATTCCTCCATTTCTGTGGTGTTTACAGATAGTCCTTTAGTGGAGGCTATTTTTGATAAAAGTCAATAAATGTCCATCTCCACTATAGAGAGTTGTTTTCATCACCCAGCTGTTTCAAGTTCTTATCTTTTTTGATAGTGTCAAGGACAAATCTTGGTCTCACAGGTCTCCCAGTCAGAAAAAAAAACCACTTGCTGTACCAAATTTTGCCACAAGATGTCTCCGATAACATGTAAGATCTTTTCCCAAACTCAAGTTAGGCTTTTATCTGGTTTTAAAAAAAAGAAATAATCTTTTTTTTTCAGCTTAACAGATAGGTAAGATAATAGGTCTCTGTAGGAATAGAAACCTTTTGGGACCCCAGGTATCCAAAAATTACAAGTCCAATTATTTAGTTGTTTAGTTTAGTTGTTCCTTTTTTTTCCCCATAGCTTTATATTCCCAGAGTAGGCAGAAGCTGCCAAATTAAGAAGGGGGAAAAAAGAATTTCCAAAGGCTTTTACAGGAAAGTAGTTGGGAAGCAAGAAAGGTAAGGTAAGGTCTCACCCAATTCCTCCACGTTGCTTTCGTTGTGCTTGGTAGTGCTTTTGGCTTTTGGCTGGAACGGCTTAGTGATCGGCCATGTTAATGGCCGATCTTTTCTTCATTGGTCCAAAGGAGCTGCCTCAGATCAAACAGAAGTGCTGCCGCCCTTCCGCGATCTGTTGAGGGTCCTCCGATCTTTTCTTCATTGGTCCAAAGGAGCTGCCTCAGATCAAACAGAAGTGCTGCCGCCCCTTCCGCAATCTGTTGAGGGTGGTCACTCCTCCAGGGCGACTTTCGACCCTTTCCAGGGTTTTCCGACGAAGGGAAACCGGATGGCGGAGAGAGCGCTCTCCCCGCACGTCCGCCGGCACCGCGATCGCAAACTGGAAGCTTGGAAGATAAAATCTCTGGGCCCAGTGACCAATCCAGATTGGATCCTGCAAAACGTCTTGTGCTCTGAAAGCCTTGCACAACACTTGAGTTGTGGATTAAACACTCCAGCCTTTTGGAGATCTTCTCATATTATGGAAAGAAAAGAACCAGCTGGGTGTAGTGATCAAGATGCTGGCCTAGAAACCAGGAGATAGTGAATACTAGTTCCACCATAGACATGAAAGCTTGCTGGGTGACTTTGGGCCAATCATCAGGAGATGGTGAGTTCTAATCTTGCCTTAGGCATAAAAGCCAGCTAGTGACTTTGGGCCTATCACCAGGAGACGGGTTCTAATCCCATTTTAAGCATGAAAGCCATCTGGGTGACTCTGGGCCAAACATTCTCTCTCAGCCCAATCTACCTTACAGGGTTGTTGTCGTGAGAAAAATGGGAGGAAGAAGTAGTATTAGGTATGTTTGCTGCCTTGAGTTACTTTATGGTAACTTTATATTACCTATAAAGTAATAATGGTGGAATAAAAGTCTAATCAACAAATAATAAATAAATGTTAACATGTCCTCTGCTTCCTCCCCCGTGCAGGTCATCACAATGCCCCAGTACCTGAAGAAACGTTTTGGAGGCCAACGAATCCGTCTCTACCTCTCCATCCTCTCTCTTTTCATGTACATCTTCACCAAAATATCAGTAGGTCCTTTCTCCAAACATCCGGGATACAGTGATGGGGAGAGGGAACATTTGGAAATAAGAATCTGCTGCTTTCGCCTATTTAGGAAGGCTGGTATAAATGCTCTTGTGGCTTTTAAATTCTAGCTCGGGGGTCTTCAAACTGAGCCCTTTTATGACTTGTGGGCTTCAACTCCCAGAATTCCTCAGCCAGCGTGCCTGGCTGAGGAATTCTGGGAGTTGACGTCCACAAGTCATAAAAGGGCCAAGTTTGAAGACCCCTCTTTTAGCTAATCTGCGCCTCTCCCTGGTAATCTTTCTGCTTCTCTCACCTGCAGGTGGACATGTTTTCTGGTGCTGTGTTCATCCAGCAGGCCTTGGGCTGGAATATTTATCTAGCTGTCATAGCGCTTCTGATCATAACCACCATTTATACCATGACAGGTAACTGGATTCTTGGGCTAGGAATGAATTGGGTACATTGAGGTAGTCCCCAACTTACAACCATACCTTTAGAGACCATTTGAAGTTGCAATGTTCGTGAAAAAAGTGACTTATGACCAGCCCTCACGCTTATGATCGTTGCAGCATCCCCGTAGTCAGGTGATCAAAATTTGGCCACTTGGCAACTGACATGTATTTAGGATGGTGGCGGCCTCCTTGGTCCCCTGATTGCCATTTGAGACCTCCTTAGCCGGCTTCTGACCAGTAAAGTCAATGGGGGAAGTTGGATGCACTTAACAACTGCATGACTCACATAACGACTGCAGTGATTCACTTAACCACCATGGCAAAAAAGGTCATAAAATTGAACATGAGATACTTAACCACCCCTTTGCTTAACAGCAGACATTCTAGTCCCAATTGTGGTTGTAAATCGAGGACTTTACCTGTATTCAATAGGACAGGGCTTTTCAACCAGTGGTACGGGTACCACCTGTGGTACATTGGCACCTGGCAGGTGGTACGCGACCATCCTAGAAAAGTGGTAGCGGGGGAGGGGAATGAGCTGAACCGGTGGCAGCACCGCACAAGCCTCAGCGAGAGACGGCTGGAACTGCAGGGCTGTCAAGGCTCAGTGGAAGCGCCAGGATCAGCGCCAGGCTCCAGCTGGAGCTCGGCGCTGATCCTGGCGCTTCTGCTGAGCCCAGAAGAAGCGCCGATCAGCTGGAATGTTGCAGCATCTCCAGGGTCTTAATATTAATGTATTAATGAGAGTATAATATACAGTAAGATATGATAAAGTTGGAAGGGACCTTTGAGGTCATCTAGTCCAACCCCCTGCTCAGGCAGGAAACCCTATACCATTTTGGACAAATGGCTGTCCAGTTTCTTCTTAAAAACTTCCAGTGTTGGTGCATTCACCGCTTCTGGAGGCAGATTGTTCCTTGGCAACTGATTCATATTTATGATGGTCACAGTGTCCCAGGGTCATGTGAAGTGACCAAAACCTGCTGCAACCACCCAGCAGACGTTGGGGGGGGGAATAAAAACCAAACACCCCCCCACTGCTGCCAATCCTCAACAGAAATGCTCACAACACTGAAAACCTCGGACAGGAGGAAGAGCGCCACCGGGTGGGCAGGCAGGTGTCTTGCTCGGCTGTGGCTTGGGGGGGCACTTTTTTCAGTGCCATTGTAACTTCAAACAGTCACTAAGCAAACTGTTGTAAGTCGAGGACTACCTGTACTTTATCATTTTTTTCGTTTTTTGGGGGGGGTCATCAAGTTTTTGACACCTTGCTAGGCGACTGGTGGTACTCAGATATTGCCATATCCTAAAAGTGGTACAATGGGTGAAAAGGTTGAAAAGCCCTGCAATAGGAAACTGAAATTCCTGGGCAATACGATAAAATATAGCTAGGGGGAGGATTCCAAATACCCAGCCAAAAAGAATGCCATCTGCTCTGATTTTCTCGTACGTGAGGCATAATTGCAGTTTTTTAGGTAGCAGGAAAAACATGGAAATAAATAAGGAGGGAACAATCACTTGCTAATTCAAAGGATTCAGGAATATCTGCAATGGAAGGATCGAAAAGGTCAAGAGGGCAGCCCCGCCCCTGTGACTTAAGCTCCACCCATTTTTACATGCATCATAACTGTTTTTAATGGCCTTGCATGATCCTGGCAAGGTTAAAAAGGTGCTGAGGCTGGGCCATAAGTTGGCACTGATAAAGAGGAATATTTCTGTAGAGGGCCTAGCACTCGTAAAAAAAAAAAAGGATGAAATAAGAAGAGAGTATTTTCTGTCATTTATTCACTTATCTGAAGCCAGGCAACCAGGCGTAGCAGTGCAGGACAATCCTATTTGCCCTCACATCCAGTGAGCCAAATCTTCTTTTAGAATATTGTCATTAAACAGTTCTCTTCATCTCACAACCAACATTTAGGGCCAATCAGTGGGCTCACTTCCCTACTGGATTTTATCCTTTTCTTCACAGTTTTGCCAAACTTACATTTGTCCCAAGAATTATGTTTCTACTTTCAGATGGAGGCTATCTTTCTGGGTGCCCAAACAGGCAGGCAGAACCACAGCAGCCCAGCCCTGTCTCGCACACAACATACGCAACTAAAATGGAAAACATTTTTAAAAGAACAATGCAGTAGCCAAGAAGTAATCAGGCCAGAAATCTAGAAGAATTGTTCACAGAATGAACCTTTCGCCCTGGCACGATCTGCCTGTTCCCTAAAACACACACACACATATATACACCCATAGGCAGGAAAGACGCAAGCGCTCTGAATCTCTTGTTTTAAGAACAGCTTATCACACGTATAGTTATGACATCTGATTAATGAACAAGGAATCACACACAGTCCTAAGCTTCTTCCTTGTCTGTAAGGCAGGGGGTCTGTAAGCCAGGGGTTGTCCAACCTAGGCAACTTTAAGATTTGCTTGTGAGACAAGGGGGTCTGTAAGGCGGGGGGGGGGGGGATCAACCTAGACAACTTTAAGACTTGTCTGTAAGGCAGAGGTAAGGCAGGGATTGTCCAACCTTGGCAACTTTAAGACTTGTGGATTCAACTCCCAGAATTCCCGAAAACACTAACATATATATTATACACATAGGCAGGAAGATGCAAGCACTCTGAATCTCTTGTTTTAAGAGCAGCTTCTCACACATATAGCCATAACATCTGATGAATGAACAAGGAATCACACACAGTCCTAAGCTTTTTCCTTGTCTGTAAGGCAGGGGGATCCAACCTCGGCAACTCATAGAATTCTGTGATTTGAAATTGACAGGTCTCAAAGTTGCCAAGGTTGGACACCCCTGCTGTATGATCTTCACCAGATCTGCCTGTACTTTATATTACAAGGGAAGCCAAAAACAAGTCCTC